TCTCTCTCTCTTTTTCTAATATTAAGCTGGCTGCCTTAAAAGGCAGCTTTTTACTGCAACTTACAAGGTTTTATTTTTATTTATTTATAATAAAGGTTCGCGGGCTCACGAGCCGGCTCGGGCAAAGCCCATGTCCCAAAAATGGGGCTCAGCTCGAGCCTTGGCTCAAGTCTACCGAGCCATGGGCGGCTCGAGCTGACGAGTCCGATTGACATCCCTAAGCAATAGGCAGTTGGATATAATGTTTCAATAAGGAGATGCAAAAATCTGGAAGTTAAAACAAAGTGCTAATTTATTTAGCTGTAACCATACAAAAAGTCTTTACCTATTTGTTACAACATCAGGATACCATCTTCCTTATAAATAGTTGTAAGATAATTTCATTTTAGAAAATTTAAAAATAAAAGCATGCTAATCATACAGTGATTACAATGCAATAGTTTTGTAGGAAATATAAAAAAGCACGATATTCGTATAGTAATTACAATGCAGCAATTTTGTCTATAAAACTAATTATATGCTAGTGTCTGAAAAACTGCACGACATAAATCACAAACAAAAGAATCTTCAATCAATGTGTATTCATTTAGAATGAGTGAGCCCACAAGAACCAGCTAACTCTAGGAGCATCTTTTGGATCGGTAACAAAGAAATTAGGAAATCATTTCAACTAAAAAGAATATGCAACTTTACTGGTTTTCACATTGCACCATTTCAGTAATGAATTATTGGATTGTACTATGAATACACATAAGTTAAAATTATTACCTTACAAGCTTGTTCTAACTCCTTCCTCTTCAACCGTATTTTTGAATTGGGAAGACTTTCAATTTGTTTTGCAAGAATTCAAGGAACTCTTGATATTCAAGATCTATATGTATATGTATGAATAGAAGAGTTATGGTTCCGAACAAACGAGTAATAAATATGTAATCGACGACTATTTTCAAAGGGTGGTATAAACGTCCTGTATATTATTTGTAGTAACTAAACATAAAAGAAAATAAACATTTAAGTTATTGCAAGAAATCAAATACTAAAGCTTCAAAATAATTTATTATAACATTATACATATATAGTGATAGATACAAACAAATTGACAGAAACAACAAGAAGTTTTACTTTTCAACAGAAGAAGTGAGATTGAGGTTCAGAATATCATCCGAAGCACTTGCATGTCATTGCATTTACATCAAAACATCATAGAAAATACAGAACTGAGAACTCCCATAAATGACAAAGATAATAATAACGAATGGTTTAGGAAGATTTTTCCTACAATTCAGAAACAGTATGAAATGAATTTAGATCTACATTAATCCACAAGAATATGAAAATTAATGCAGAGTTAATGAAGACATTCAATTATATTAATTTAAATAGAAACCAAATCACCTATCTAGGGCTTCAAGGTACTTTTGCTTTTAGACCTCGAAGAAATTTTCATTGAATAGCTGTTCTCATCAACCATAGTAAACTGAAATAAGTAACTTTTCACTGCTTTCCATTCTCCCTTTTTCACCATTTCCTCTATATATTTCATGTTAAAGAAGAAACTTACTTCTTTTTGCAATCTTTAATCACCATACATAAACAAACCATTAAAATTAACTAAATAAATAAAGTCTAGAAAATAGATTTGAACGCATAAATCTCCCTAGGTTTTTTTTTGGAAAAAAAATTACATAATAAAAAAAAATTGAAATTTCAATCTCGCGAAAGCCTTTTTTCAGATTACATAATTAGTCGGGTAAGGATCATTCAACGTATAATCAACTGATCAATATACTTAGATCCAAAAATCACGCAACTTTTTTTATAATCTTTTTCCTTAATTTGTCAACCTCCAAAAAATTGAATTAAACCCAAAAAAAATTTTGAAATTGAAAACTTACCTATTAACTATCTCTTTGAATTTCTTTTCATCTGTAACCTTAGATAAAAGTAGCTAGCCAAAAATCAGAGTAAGAAAAAAAGACCATAAGCAACTAAAGAAATATAAAACCCCTCCTCCTCCTCCTCCATCTCCTTCTTCTTCTTTTTCTTCTTCTGAGTTTTCTTGGCCATTTTATGCCTATTTTTAATAAGGCCATTCAATTTTCAGAGAGCAAGTGATAATTGTAATGACTAACTTGATAGAAGCAAAATGAAGGAATAAATCAAAAGTAATATCAATCATATTATTTGACATCAGGGATAATCAATTGATGAAAAATTGATCCAAGATTTAGTAGTACATCAAGGAAAGCTCTTAAAAGTGAATACCTATTTCATGATTGCCATCTAGAATAGAAATATGCACACATAATATATTGCATTTCAATAAATTCGATTGGGAACGGACAAATTAATATGCTTTTAACATAAATGTCACTACATAAGATAAGGACGAAACTCAAAGTGTGATGAAGTCTTACTTGAGGTTCAACAATCATGGATAAAGTCTTAATTCCTTACAATATCTTAAATAAACTACACTTCTTTTTCAGATCATCACATAAATTGGATATTTTGCTTGCCAGAGTAAAGTTTTATCTGCACATAAATGAAAGAACATGATTGATAATTCAATATTAGACTATTAAAAGGAGAAAGTCCTTTATCTACGGATAAAGTTATACACATAATTCTACCACCTAGTCTTGATGTTACTCCGTAACCACAAGTAGATGATATTAGAACTCCATTATCTGAAAGTGGCCTAAGCATTTGATTTTACAATAAATTCTAGTTCTAACGGTTTTATTGTTAACTTTACAATGTTGACTAGAATATGAAGAACATGGGTAACTTTTCCTTTGTAACGACTCGTTATTTGTATGGTCGCTTTATCACTTTGAACTTCACATGGAGGTCGAAATTCTTTGACTTGGTCCCCCTGCCAAGTGATTTCATCAATGTCCAATTGATCCTAAATGATACAGTTGTTCCAACTTGATTAGAATATAACATTCAAATATAATGATAATCACAGGAAGGAAAACCACAACTTCAAATAGCATCACCATTTGCAATAACCTTAAACAATGAAAGAGAGAAATATAAAAATAATACAATCAAACTGGCAACATATGGAATCTTCAATTCCAGTAAAAGTGAACAATTTGAATAAACAAGAACTGCATTGGGTAAAAAATTCATTTACAGAACCAGCAACGGTGTTGATTAATCATGGTACAATATAACAAGTTATTTACTCACCTTTCGTAGAAGAAGTTCACATTCAGCTATAACTTTACCAGTTTGCACCAAAGGCAAATCAACCATTCCATTAACCAGAAGATCAGCCATAGCTTGAGTAATAAAGCAATGCCCTTTAATCCCAAATCATAAACAATAAAGAAGAAAAAAAATTAAAGCAACAAAAATTGACATAACATACACCTATGTTAATTCCATATGCAGTATTAAAAGCCTCAATTTTCTAATCTTTTACCAGCATACAAACAAGATATACAAAGAAATCATGCGAAAACTTTAGACAAAATAAACTTACAAAATCGAATTTTTTACCTCTATTTAATTGAAACAATATTGCTGGGAGAGCAAAAAAATAAACCTAATCTGAACAAAGAGAAATGCAAATCGAACTGAGATGACAAAGTAATCTGCAGTAAATATAATATGAAATCAACATACTTAAGGTCACAAATATTTTGTTCGTGTTCGATTTTTCTGCTTCTTGAAGAATTTAAGAACAATTCAAATACAAAATTGTACACATAGAAACAAAGGGGAAAAAAAAAGAAAAAAAGGGCATTCCAGAGATGAGATGCAAAGGAAATATATTTATATCCAATATCAATGGTCTAACTGTAAAAGACATAACTTTCTAACAAATTTGACAAAAGAATATATATATAAAATGAAAGACAATCACCTCAGAAGGTATAAAAATATCAATTTTGAAATTCTCTAAGAGGAATCCCTTCTTCTTTGAAATACCTAAATTGCAAAATAGTTAAATTATAAACTTAGGAAAGTTATGAGCGTGTGTAAGGGCAGAGGAACAATGAGAAATTTTCTAGTATGAAGGGTTGGCAAAACAATAAGGGAAAATACAAAATATAAGAACAACATTTTAAACGAAAAAATGAACCACAAAAAAATCTCCATTATTTTTAATATCATCATTTCATACAACAAAAGAGAAGTATATAAATGGAAAAATGAAATTGCTCTAATAAAATTTTATTAGTTTATCAGACTATCCAATGCTATCTACTTCGGCAGAACCCAGTTTCAAATTTTTGTAGCTTGACAAAGACTATCAAGATATGTTAAGCCACATACTATCAGTGAGATTACTAGCTTTCACTTTAAATTGTAAACAAGAAAGACCTAAGTGATGTTTAATAGTGAAACTTCATGCCAAGCAAATGAAAGCAAGTAAGATTCGACAGGTCCAAATAGATATTAAAATCCTGATTTACAATATAGCCGAAGTAAATTCCACATCGGAGCACAAAATAACGATTAAAAAAAAAAAGCCCTACATCAAAGCCTCCATGAATGGTAAGATCAGTAAAATACAGAGAGAGACAGCAAACTTCCACCACAAATAGCAAGAAGAACGCAAGAAGGCAAATGCAAACCTTAATATACATAGTTTCAGATATAAAGATAGATCAATGAATAGGCGAAATTAAACTACAAAAAAGAAACCCACGTCGTTTCCTACTTCTGATTTTTGCTGACCTTGTAAAAAATTAGCTACTACGAAGCCAGATTAGATGTAACCAAAACAAAAGACACACACAAATTAAGAGGCCAAAACTGAATGTAAGAAAAAATGTCACTCGAAATGGGTAAAACCTAAACACAAAGAAGTAATCAAGCAAATAGAAATAAAAGTAGAAGAAATAAAACAAACATATAGAAGAGATGACAGAAAATGAAGAAAAACAAAAAACCTCAAAACAAATTTGCTTCACCTTAAACACAATGACAAAATCGAGCACACGTGAGATTTTCGAACAAAAAAAAATAAAGAAAATTGAAGGAATCCGAGTTAAAATTCGTTAACCTTAAACACCAGCAAAAAAATCAAACACACATGGAAATTTTGATCAAAACAAGAACAGAAAATTGAAAGGTTAACAGTAGAAGTGTAAGAGCTGTTTA